AATTACTATTAATGCTACAAATAGGTAGACCATGTGATAAGAGGATGGGTGAGCTTCTCTAAGCTCAGTCATCAGCCCAGTGTACCCAGTTGTCCCAGAACCTTTCTGTTCACATGAACTGGGTAGGCTGCTGGCTGCATTTATGGTACCATCTAGATAAATGTGAGCACAAACTCACTACTTGGCAGAACTGTCTCTGAGTGACCATATGTTCCATTGTGTGGGGGTCCAGGTTTATGATAACATGCAGTTGCAGAACCTCTACCCAGAAGCATGGCAGAAAATAGGAAGAGCAGGCGTATCTTTGGTCAATGCATGTACAAGCGACAGTTCCTTTACTTCTCCTGGATTCTAAAATATTTTCAAAGTTTTGGTTAAATACATTATTATTTAGTTTGAAAAATTAACCTAAGAGCTCTTATTTTTGAAATAATCATAAGAACCATAAATGTATACATTTAAATGTATAAAACTTGTATGTAATAGGTAACTTCTTAAGCTTCTTGGCTAATAAATGGGAATAACAAACCTGCATGGTAACTTTGTAGTTCAGCACTGTGTGTGTGTGTGTGTGTGTGTGTGTGTGTGTGTGTGTGTGTGTGTGTGCGCGCGCGCGCGTGTGTGTTGTATTGTATGAATGTGTGCACTCAGATATGCACACCTGGGTGTGGAGGCCAGAGGAGGACATGGGTGTCATCCTCTATCACTGTCCACCTTAGTCCTTTGGTCTCTTATTGACTCTGGTTTTCAGTTACTTCTGTCTCTCTCTTCACCCTGTATGTCATAATTATGAAAAATGCTTCCAAGGTTATGGGTGGTTATGTACAGTCAGTGCTGAGGTCCAGATGTCAATCCCCTGTACAGGAGGGAGAAGATGAAGGCATTGCTAAATGACCCCGAGAGGGATGCAGAATTGCCTCTAGTTGAGGATGACTGCTGAAGATGTTTCTCTACTGAGATTGTGTTCTCACTTCACTGGCTCAGCTTTCCATAATAGGCATGAATTTCAAATTGAGAAAATGAAATAAAACCAAACAATTGATTTTTTTCCCATTAGAATAAAGATATAGTTTTAAAACTGAGGCCTTGTGCTCATTTGAAATTCAAACCTTTAATATCCAAAAAGTACATACATTTTCCGAATTTGGAAAGAACATTTTAGAGACAAAAGCACTTGAGTCACTACTGAGGGGCTGTTAAGTGATTGACTGAGACGGTTGGCAGTAGACAGGAATGGGGGGCAGTTTATTGGGTTCATTGCTGTGATCCATGCTTATGTGGATGTGGATACTGTGCCTAATCATCTGCTCCACTGAGAGAGCCTCAATTACAAAGATGTTCTGGTGGGAAGGCTAGATGCATGGGTAGGATGGCTGTGTGATAAAGCAAAACACTACTTGCAGAGAATAAGTGATGTGTGTGTGCCAATCACCTTCTTTTATTCTAATAGAATGTTGGTGGGAGGATCAATCTTTAGAGGTGCTGGCTAAGGTGGCTTTCTTTACACTTCTGTTATTTCGTTTGGATGTGCTTCAGTTGCTTTTCCAATAATGCTGTAGTAATTAGATAATACAGTTGGTGGTCCAAAATCCAGGCTCTAATTTTGTGTCTCATTTAAAATGGTGATCATGCTGCTCAATGAAATATGGAAACATTTTTAAAGCGGAAAGCATTGTAGAGAAGTCTGTGGCCAGTTAGATGGCTCGGTGGGTGAAGGTGTTTGCTGCTAAGCCTGGTGATTTGAGTTGGATCCCTGGATTACTCGTGGTGAATAGAGAAAGCTCATAGGACCAGTAGATGGTTCAGTGGATAGGGGTCCTTGCTGCCAATGACCTGAGGTCAGTCTCTGGGACCCACATGGTGGAAGACAAAAACCAACTCCAAGAAATTGTCTTCTTAACCACCACATAAGTGTACACACAGACAGAAATAAATAGGTGAATCAGAGAACTCATCTTCTCTAAGTTGTTCTCAGACCTCCGCTATTTTTTCTTTTTAATCATCCTGTCTTTTTGACACTTTCCAGCTGTTGAAAGGGGATGACTTTTCTAGTGTTGTAAGGTTAAGCTCCAGACATGTACTATTTCTTATTAATTGAAAGATATTTGCCTTTGGAAAGCACTCCTAATTCTTCATATTTCTATCCCGTTATCTCGACCCTGCGATATCAAGTGCACCATTTAAATTGCCCTTGAGAAGATTCTTGCTGGTCTTGGTGCAGGTACCAGTAGTGTCTGATAAACATATAACTCTGAAGCTCTGGGCTAATGGAGAGAGGGTCTTTACACTTTCCTGTTAGAACTTTTTCATTCTCCCACTTTAGTATCGGATTGGGGTATTTATGTGCAAAGTACTCTCTGTTATTTTAGAATTTGTATGTACACCATTGGTAGATTTGGGTCTCATGAGCCCATGAGAATGGGAAGGACAGGACAACTCCTGATCCAAAAACAGGAGGCACAGAGGTTACTCCCTGCTGTCACTTTAAGAGGTTGGCATTGCATTATCTGCTTTTTGTAGGTGTTCTTTCCTTTTTATCTGAAGGTTCAGAAGCTAGGTTCTATCTTCCTGTTGAGCTTCCGGGGGGTGGGGGGGGTCACTTTTGGATTGGATGCTGCGGAAGTGGATTAGTTTCCCTGAGCATAAAGGAGGAACAGAGCTTTTTTCCTTGTCCAGTCAGAGGCTCCTGACAAAGGTAGGAAAAAAAAAGCATATGAAGGCTTAGGGGTGCATTATTGAGCTTGTGTACACAGGTGCTCAAAGAATATTGTTATTAACGAAAGGTATCAGCTTTAGTCTGGTATGGTGGTGCACACCTTTAACCCAGCACTCGGGAGGCACAGCAAGCAGATCTCTGTGCATTCCAGGACAGCCTGGTCTACAGAGTGAGTTCAGGACAGTCAGGGCTATGTAGATAGACCCTGTCTCAGAAAAAAAACCAAGCAAACACACACACACACACACACACACACACACACACACACACACACACACACACACACACACGCTATCAGCCAGCCAGCCTGCCTATCCATCCCATCTGCCTACCTGTTCCTTCCCTCCCTCATTCCTTGTTTCTAATTGTTTTCTTGTTTATTTCAGACAGGGTGTCTTGTATACAGGCTTGCCTTGAACTCAGCTATCTAGGAGAATGACTTTGAATTTCTGATGCTCCTACCTCTACTTCCAAGTGCTGAGATTGTGCGTGAACATCCCTGCCCCTGGTCTAGGCAGGGTTGGGGATTGAATCCAGGGTTTCACGTGTGCTAGGCAAGCATTCTCCCCATTGAGCTACATCTCTAGCTTCTTAGGAGTTAGTTTCCAATAGAATATTAATTTAACATTTTATAGTTGATTAAATTATTCAGAAATCTTACAGGTCTGATTTGTTACAAATCATAATCTCAGGACTGGAGAGATGGCTCAACAGTTAAGAGCACTTTGTTTCTCTAGCAAGAGGATTAGGGTTTAGTTCCCAGCACCCATATGGTGACTTACAACCTTCCATAGCTCTAGTTCCAGAGAACCTGATGTCCTCTTCTGATCGCCGAGGGTGCCAAGCACATACATGTAGGCAAAACGCACACACATAAAGCAAAATAAATATAATTTTTAAGAATCATAATCACCAAGCAAAGAATAAGTGAGGAGGGCTGTAGGACTGGACACCTTTGGCCCTAGTTCAGAAAGGGACACATTTGCCTTTCTAGCAAAGACTTCATTCTTGCAACTTGCTTCTTAGTTCTTGTGTGCAAGCATGCTGTGCAGCTCCCACTGTTTTTCCTTCTTAGCAAGATGTGCTAACAATTTTCTTTTGTTTCCTATTTGTTTTTTTGAGACAGGTTTTCTCTGTGTAGCCTGGCTGACCTCTAACTCACTGAGATCCACCTGCTTCTGCCACCCATGTGCTGGGATTAAAGACACAAGTCACTACCACCCGGCTAACAATGTGTTTTAAACATGTATTTATATAGTGCAGATTACTCTGAGTAAAATGCCATCAAATACACTCATTTCCATATTGGTAGTATAATGATACTTTTATGGAATAAGTATTTTATAGATATGATGTTGGTTATAATGAAGTTTTCATGACATCATTATTATAAACTCCATGTAGGAAACTCTTAGATCAGTTCAATCCAAGTTCTTTCAAGAATATTCTCTTGAAATGCTGTTTACACAGTAGGAAAAAAATCATCTTTTTTTGATCAACAGATATTATTTGAGCCTGCTCTTTTAACTTAGCATATAAGGAGAAAATAGATTCCATATAAAAATAATCAGAGGTGCATTTAATGTTACTGGTGCCTTGAAATTAATGGAAAGAGGCTTTAAAGACTTAGGATAAATACCTCTTTTAAGTTTTTATAATATTAAGACAATGAGAACGTAGTTATCTTAGAGTAGAACTTATAATACTTTCTCTGTAATGAACCTCACAGTCAGTGCTGAGGACTCTGTAGGCTGTCCATTCTCTGTTGTAACTCTACCTTTGCAGATGGTAGCCCCAGGTAGTACATAAATGAATGACCCTGGTTGTGTTCCAATAAAACTTTTATTTATGTACACTAAAGTCAGAATTTTATGTGTACATGTCAAAAAGTACTCATTTTTGGAGTCTTTCTTCCAGCCACTTAAAACTGTAGAAACCATTTATTTGGTGGTTCTGCAGTCATCTGCATAGGTAAGCTGTTGTAACAAAGAATGGACAACCCACAGAGTCCTCATAGGTCATACCAAAAGAAGAAAGAAAATGGAGAATAAGCTGTTGGTTGCTGCTTTCTTTTATGACAGTGACTTTAAGTATTTGAAACTAGTTTAATATGTGAGAGTTTTAGCATTCTTACCTTTTGAGAGGAGGATGAATACATTTTACCTGTGTCTTTTATGGGAAATTTATATACCAGATTGGCAGAAGTGAATTTAGATGATTAAGATGTTTCCATTTGAAAATGATTTCCGATTGGAGTTGCTGAGTTCTCTTCTTTCTTTTCCAGCGAAACTAGCAGTGTATGCAGCAGCAGCGACACAGGGCTTTTCACCAATGATGAAGGACGGCAAGGTAATCTTCTTAAACATTATTTTTTTTTTAATTTTAAGTTATCTGCATACATGTGTGTCTGTATGTGTGTGGGCATGTGCATATGAGTGCAGTCACCCATGGAGCCCAGAAGAGGGCGTCAGATCCCCTTGCAGCTGGAGTTAACAGGCTGTTGTGGGCAGTCAGATATGGGTGCTGTAAACAAACTGATCCTTTGGAAGAGCAGTACATACTCTTAACTACTGAGATTTTTCTCTGGCTCCCTGGCAAAGTAGTCTTGATTCCAGCTTTGGGACTTTGTCTCAGTGATTGATTTCAGTGACCATGGAGTGACTTATTGAAGGCTTATGAGAGCCACTTGGGGAACTGTGAAAATTCCAGATTTTCTGAGCTGCTAGAAATCAAATAGATTTGGAGTTGGTCCTTGGAATCTGTAGTTTTTATAAGCCCCCAAAGTAGTTCTTATATAGTAGCTTATAGCTTGAGAATCATTGGTGCATGGGGTCAGAATGTCAAGGCTGGAGCTTGTGAAAGTTTCTTTTAATTATAACTAGTAATAGTCTCATACATAATTCTTTTGGGGAGGGTTGATATGTTCTTACTTTTACTGAGGAATAACTTTTACCTTAAGTTTAAATGCCTGAAGATTATGACAGAGTTATATGAATAAACCCTGTAATACCCTGGGTGAATATTTAATAAATGTCTTAAATGTGCACTTTTTTTCCCCTGAAGGAACCCTGTGTGTGTGCATGCATGCCTTTTGCCTTTTGCCTTTGTTCCGTGTAGCTGCTACCTTTTAATTTTATTTGGTTTTAGATGTTTTTAAAATTTATGTACGAGTGTTTTGCTTGCATGTATGTAATGTGTACCATGTGTATGCCTGGTATTCTAATAGATCAGAAGGCATTGGATCCTTGGAACTGGAGTGTGGATGCTCACGAGTCCCTATGTAGGCGCTGACAACTGACCCCAGGTCCTCTGTAAGAGCAACAAGTGCTCCTAACTGCTAAGCCATCTCTCCAACCTCTGCTTTTTCAAAATCACCTATTGTGTTAGGTGCTTTCCATTGAAACATTTCACAGCTAGGGATTATTGTTTTTAAATATTCATTTATTTTATTTTAATTATTGTGCCATGAGGGCACATGATCCTGAAGAGATCAGAAAAGGCATCATATCCTCTGGAACTAGGATTATAGACAGTTGTGAGCTGCCATGTAGTTGCTTGGAACCGAACCCAGGTTCTGTGTGAGAACAGTGAGTGTTCCTAATACTGAGCCATCTCTCTAGCTCTTGGAATTATTTATAACCTTACATGTTGCCTGGAATGCAAGAGCCCCTATTGAGTTGATAAACCCAAATAAGTGTAAGCGAGGGTGCAGTAAGCTCCCAAACTAGACTATTCTGTTTGTAGGAAAAAGGTTTACTGGGGATCAAACTGCCAAGGCTGTCTCTAGGAGAGGGTAGCAGAGGGAAGCAAAATGGCTGAATTTTATCTGTCAGTCTCACAGCCTCTTCTACCTCAGCCAGTCCTTTTCCCCTTATTTGTTTGTTTATTATTTTGGTTTTGAAGCAGGGTCTCTCTGCATAACCCTGGCTGCCCTGGAACTCACTATGTAGGCTAGGCTGTCCTCAGACTCACAAAGATCATCCTGCTACTGCCTCCTGAGTGCTTGGATTAAAGGAGTATGGCACCATGCCCAACTACAACTCCTTTTTAAAAATTTTCATGAGTGAATTGTAAGAACCAAAATTCCCCTTCTGCATTAATTGTCAGAAAACATTATCTGGTGAATTTACCTGGTGCAGTGAGAAAGGCGCTGGATGAGACCAGAACAAGCATGTCACGGTGCATACAAACTGGCTGTGTTTACCAGTGCCTGCCCTGAGTTCACCTGTGACATTGGCTGCTGAGGCACGTGCACAGTGGTACTCTCTGATTGTGCTCCCTGGACCTGCTCAGCTTCATAAGGGAACTTGCTAGTGTTTGGTTCAAATCAGAAACTTTGGTAGATAGGGCCCAGCAGTCTGTTTGTCACCTGGTATGTGCCTTCCTTCCCATCTGTTGTCATCTCTTCATTTCCCCCACATCCTGGTTTTGACAAGCCCTTCTAGTACATCTGATACTTGCTGAAGAATGAGAACCTCTGTTTTCAAGACAGTGTTTGCAGTGTTTGTTTGTAATGAGACACCAATTTATATCAAAGAGCATCTTCTTTGGTGCTTGGTGGTAATAGCTATTATTTGCAGAATGCAGGCCTCATTGTCCTCTTTGGAGATTCCAGCATTAATTTTAAGACTAATTATTAGCCTGTGTGTTAGTGGCTTCATGTGTTTGGCAGGTGGGACCTGATATATATATATATATATATATATATATATATATATATATATATATATATATATATCGGGGAATGAAGGTCTCATGAACTTTAGATGCTGTTGTAATAGTTTATTTTATTTTTGCACTTCGGAAAGTGGATGAGGTAGCAGACATGAAATTGCCTTTTTCTTACTTGTCTTGTTGGCAGGAATACACTCTAGTAGTAGAAACTGAGCTATTTATGGTGGCTGATTGAAAGTTCAAACCAAGAGGTTGGGTGTATGGGTTAGTTAAGACCTTAACCATTAATGAACAATGTAGCCTCAGGCAAATGTTCCAGTTTCTTAAAGTTGCAGGGAGTTTTATTGCTTGTTTCTGTGGTTATTTTTTTCCTGGTAGCTTGGATTTCTAGTTCAAAGTGATTTTTTGCCCCGGCAATGAGATACCAACCAAAACAAAGTGTGGGCATAAATTCTTTACTGATCTATTATGATAAAATGTAAATACATAAAAATCCCCCAGCAACAAAAGGTAATTTTTGAATTGAACATTTATTTATGACTTTGAACTCTGTTTATCTGCATGATGGATGATGGTAAGGAAGGCAGTTTGTTTTTTATGGAAAACACTTGGGCTTTGTCAGGTTGAGGGTTCAAATTCTGACTTCATTTACTAACTGAACCCTGACTTCTGGGCATTAGTTGCCTCCCTAAAGTTGGAGCTATCGTGTATTTTGGAAGAGATAACATATTTTCAGGTTTTCCATGTGAATTCTGCAGGGCAGTAAGGCTGTATCTTAGATTTTACTACTGAAGTGGTGAAAAAGAGTCCAACATTCATGTGAAACTATGTTGGTACTTTAGTGTACCAAGAGGAACTGGACAGGTTCTTTTGTGCTTTGGTTTATTTGACAGTATCATAACTATAGCATTAAGAAACCCTTCTGGCATTTGGATTTTAACATGACAGCTCAGGACATGATCTGTTTGCTTTAGGGGACGATGAGCAAAGTGATTGGTTTTATGAAGGAGAATGTGTCCCCGGATTCACTGTCCATAACCTTCTGCCCAAGTGGGCTCCTGATCACTGCACTGAAGCAGAAAGAATGGACTCTGGACTGGATAAACTCTCAGATCCCACATTCCTTTTACCTTCCCGGCCAGCTCAAAGAGGTGAGTTTGGAGAAGACCAAAGTCAAGGTCATGGCTTTATGGTTCTCTTTGGGAAGACTGAGTGTGCCCTACTCAGTCACTTGCATGCCTCTGACCATGCATTGCTATCTGAATTGTGGAGTTAGCTCAGGGTTCTAAAGGATTCAGAGGTGAGTCTCAAAGCTCAGGGTTCTCCCATTCCTAAGTCAATCCGTGTAGGCCCTTGGACACATTTAAGAAGCCTGGCATCAGTCATGTCACAGCGACAAACTCCACTGTAAAGCTGATGCAAAACTTCCTGAATGCTCTGTGGGAGCTTGAAAGATTGGCTCTTATGAAGAATATTCACATACAAGTAATTAGGGCATTTTTAAATGTATGGTTTTAAAATGCTTCTTTAAATGTATTTGTTTTAATGATTCTATTATTGTGTACTTGGGCACAAATGCTTATCTGTTCCTTTGCTTTATTTCAGTTCTGAAGGAGCAGAATGGGGTGGAAAGGGCCCATAAAAGGAGACAGAAATGTGATGACACTTCTCTTTTAGTTAGCTCCATATTGTGACCAGGTCATTTTACTTTTTGGAATGTCTGGACCATTGCCTAAGATATGTGTCAGTGAGCAGGACTATTTTATAGGAAGTAGCAATCAACCGTGTAGCCAGTTTCTGGTATTGTTGATGTTTGGTGCTCAGAGTGGCAATCTGTGATCATACTGCTCAGGACAAAGATATGAGCACAGTAAGGCTTTGGCAGATAGACTTGTGAAGCTGCTGTGGTAAGGGCCCCACTGTGCTAGGACATGTGTACTTATGGATCTTGTGTGTTCAGTAACTGAGGCCTTCTTTCCACAGGATACCATGCTCGTCTGAATCGGTTGCCAGGAGCTGCAGCTCGGTGCCTCAGGAAGGGGCGGAGAAGGCTGGCTGGGAAGGTGACAGATGTCATGGTTTCTCCAGTGCTATGGGAAGGTGGTAGTCCCCATAGGATTTGCGTGCCCTACTGACAATTGAAGGCATCACAGGACTCCCTGGAGTTAATGAGACCAACTGAGATATTCTGGGAGTTAAGGGTGAATGAACATTATGTGGGATTTGAATGGATACATATAGACTACTGGTTTGATTTCTCCCTTCTGCACTTATGACTAACCCTGTATTATTGTATAAGTTCAAAATCTCTTTGGCTTCTTTACAACTCCTGATTTCAGGAATATGTTTTTATCCTAATGACTTTTTATCCTAGAATTGATTTAAAAGGAGAAAGTTAAACAACAACAAACAGAACCAAATGAGCAATGCCTTCTTCCCCACACAAAAAATAGCACTAAGCCTGTTTCTCAGTAGTCCAGGAGCTCTTCCCTGGCCCCCAGGGACACTACTTCTTGCCAGGGCCTGTGCTGGGCACTGGGCCATTGCTTCTTCCCAACTGGTGCTTTAGCCCACAGGGAGAACTTAGGTCAAAAGAAGTAAGAAATGTGTGTCATTCCCTGCAGCTAAGTAGCAAAACAGAATAGGGTAACTTTATTCTTTTTAAACTAAATTTATTTTTGGAGACAGGGCCTCTATGAAGTCCAAACTGGCCTGGTACTTGCTTTGTGTCCTAAGCTGGCCTTCAACTTGAAATTGTTCTGTCTAACTTCCTGAACTGTAGGATTATAGGCATGTAATTACTCTTAATTTAAATTATATTCTAACTTTGAGATTGAGAACTAGGCTAAGGCAAAGGTTCCCTAGCCAGACAGGGAAGATGGTAGTGAGGAAGCATTTGTCGCGCATCTAGAAAATATGCCATCATGTTTGCCAAGCCATGTGTGTGGTTGCTGATCACATTCATCTGGCTATTGCTTTGTATTGTCATCTACCCAGAGAGCTATTTTCTGAAGTTTGGAGCATTGGGGGGAAAAGAACAAATAATAAGAGGTCTGGTTAATTAATTCATGTGTGTTTACCTCAGAAGACAATTTGCGGGTGTCATGTCTCTCCTTCAATCATGTGGCTTCTGGGATTGAACTCAGGTCATCAGACTTGGCAACAAGTGCCTTTACCTACTCAGCTATTTCTCTAGCCAGATTCTTTTTCTTGCCTTATATTCCAGTTCTACTCTTTAACTAGAGAGGTATTTGGTCATTGGAAGAATCACACTATGTTCCTTTTGGCTTACTCCATTTACAGACCATGGACCAAACACCCTTGTTGGTTTTAGGAGCTCCTTGTGGGTGGGGTTAAGGAAGGCAGAAGTTTGAGGGTAGAGGACTGGAGTTTTACTCCCCCTTCTGTTGATTAGGTACAGTAATGGTCTCTCCCCCCCCCCCACCCGCCCCCCATCTGCTGCCTTTCTTTAAGCTCAGCAAAGTAAGAGCTGTCTGCTTCAATGGATGTGAGTTAGTTCATCTTGATGGCTCTCTTCAGTGTGCTCGAGAGGAATCTAGGCTTTATTGGACGTGCAGCTAATGATCTCAAGCAAATAGGATGAGGTGTACTTCTAAATTCATCTTCATCACCTTAAAGGGAGATCTGTCATTTCTAGCAGCGGTCACCGCTCTGCTCTCCCTGCTCCCCTTCTCATCCCTCTCTTCTCTTTCTAAACTGCAATCATAAATAATGAGTTTTATTCACAGCTCCCTGACAGCGAGCTACTAATTACTCAAAGTACTGCTTGTAATTTACACAGTAATAAACTGTAAATTTAAATATTACAGTGTTTTAAGTTAATAATTTTTCTGCTGTAACAAATAGCTCATTATTCAGCCATCTTCCCGTTGGCCTCTCTACATTCTGTGTCTCTGATCTGGAGGGACATCCAGAGGAATGAAAAATACAAAGAGCGCAATGTGCGGACCCTCCACTTAGCTCCACCTCTGTTTAGAGTCTGACCTCAAATTAATTTTTCAAAAGCTGGTGGTTCTGCTAAAGTGTGTTTCCTATTCTTCAGGCTAACTCATGCACATAGTTGAGTATAAATGCCAAGATACAGATGTGTTTGAGGAGCAGTGACGTTCATACCTGTGACTTGTGCCCTCTCGGCTTAGCACTTCCTCCCGTGTGTGACTCTTGTTTCTTGTGCAGGTTGCTGTGACAGCTGTCACTGTAAATGTGCTCTTTAGGGGAGGGTGAGGTGACTGGTTTGCTGTAGTGTCCTGTATGCCTCCACACTACAGTCCTGAGAGCCCCAAATTTAAGAATTAGTTCATACAACCTTCTGCTTTTACTTTGAAATAATGATCAAGGGACAGAAGACAGTGATAATCTTTGTGGTTTGTGGCTATTGTGGTGCTTTGTGGTCTTGGGACCTTGTGTATACAGCTAGGCAAGCACTGTGCCACTGAATTGTATGGATCTAGCCTGGCAGCTTAGTTGTGTAAGTAGCACAAATTGTTTAACGCATAGACATGTAGTCAGCAGGTATTCAGTGAGAGTTCATTCAGGGTTTGTGGCATTTGTTGAGCGTCAGTCAGTTCATGGAGCTTAGTGTGCCCTTCTGCTGAAAACTGACTCCTGTTCCTGGGTATGGTGATGTACACCTCCAATCTCTACACTCGGGAAGCTGGAGCAGGAGATTGAAGCCAGTATTAGCTACACAGTGAAATCAAATCTCAAAAAAAAAAAAAAAAAAAAAAAAAACTGTTGAATTTTCAAAAAAAGTTTTTCTGCTTCATTATACTCTAGTACTCTACGAAGTATTACATACACATCTAAACATAAACAACTATATACATGTTGAAAAATTACTTGGTATTAGTTTTATATTTCACTTGTGTGTTACTTAAAAAATAAACAGGGCTGGAGAGAAAGCTCAAGCTGGTAAAGTGTTTGTGAAGAACTTGAGTTTGCTCCTCAGAACCATGTGGGAGAAACCTCAGGTGCAGAGGCGTAATTCCAGCCCTGGGGAGAAGGAGGCAGGAAGATGGCTGTGGCTCACTGAACAGACAGCCTAGCCTACTTGGTAAGCTCAGGCCAGGAGAGGCTGTCTCCAAAAAAAATGTAGACACCTGTCATTCTGAAGAATGACACCTGAGATTGTCTTCTGGCTTCCATTCATGCACACACTTATGAGTGTGCACACGTGTGCACCTGCAACACACACTTACACAAAACTAAATTTAAAATAGAAAAAAAATCCCAAGTCTAACAAACAGTATTTATAATGCCTAAGTCAGCAGAGAATAGCTAGGTAATAGATGATATTTCTAAGATGAGCTCACATTAAAAAACATAGTCGCTGTTGGAGTTTAAGGTTGACACAACCTTAAGGTGGCTTGACTGGCATAGTTAGAGAAAAATTGAGCTTGGGAACAGCTTAAACTGTATATATTTGCTTCTGTGGTTTGATGACACTCTTTTTTTTTTATCCTTTTAGGAGACCAGCATAAGCAGTCTAGGAACTGAGAGGATAAGCCATATCATCAGTGACCCCAGGCAGAAAGAGTAAGTGCCTAAGTGCCTACTGCTGTCCTAACCTGGTCCAAGGAGAAGGAAGTAGAGAAGGCTTTAATAAAGCAACTTTTCTATTAGACTTGAGAGCCCAAAGAGGGGATTTTAAAGATGGTTCATGGCTAAAAGTGCTTGCCACCTGTTAGTGCATGTTTGATGACCAGAGTTTAATCCCCAGAGCCAGAAGGAAAGAACCAACTCCATAGAGTTGTCCTCTGACTCTCACAAGTATGCTATGAATACACACTAATAAAATAGTAAAATTTTAAGATAGCTAAAGTCTTAAATCATGACAGTGATTTTTCTTTTCCTTTCTAGAGTAGTTTTTATTTTGTTGCCTGCTGTTTCTAGGTGTTATAATAGTATCCACCACTAAGAGACTGTATTTTAAATGCATTTTTCTCTCTTGACTTTTTTTTTTTTTAAATGGTCATTCCAAATGACTTGTTGCTTCTGCTCTCCTTCAGGCCTTTTTAAGGAGAAATCTTTTTGTCCCTGTTACCGTGGTGAATGCAATAGGAAGCATGAATGTAGCTGCATAGGAATCATCTGCCTTTCTCATAACAGCTTCATCTCCTAAACAGTTGGCTTTGCTGAGTGCTTTGCCTTCCTATGGGTCTTCCATGGCTAAAGTTTGAATAGCTGCTGAATAAATACATACGTATCGGGGCTGGAGAGATGGTTCAGTGGATCAAGCATAAGGACTAGAGTTTGGATCCCCAACACCCACATAAATAACCAGGCAGTATGGCAGGCATGCCTGTAATGTCAGCTCTTGAGAAGTAGATCCCAGGGCAAGCTGGCCAGCATGAAGCTCTAAGTTCAGTGAGAGACCTTGCCTCAATAAATGGAGAGTAAGCCAGGAAGACATCAGCCATTGACCTCTGACCTCCATACACCTGTATACCTGTGAACTTACACTCCTCCATCACACACATATGCACACATATCATATATAACAACATACATTAAAAAAAAAGCGACCCACATTTGTATATGCTAAAGAAACTGTATAATTTTATTCCTTAATCATTATGGTCAGTACCTAAGAGCAGTCCTATACATATCTAACCTAGTCTAATTTTGGAGTTTGAGTCCTCTTCTCACTGAGAGCTGAGATAAGGCTGTGTCTTAGTTGGCTTTTCCATGTCCAGTTTTCTGCTTTCCATTGTTTACCTTCTCCACTGAGGATTACTTCAGTGAGACTTGTTCACACATAGCCAGCGTCCTTCTCCTTCAGCTGCGTCTCTTCCAGTGTCTTCTTTGTCTTCACTTCTGTATCCCACCTTTATCTTCTTCCCTCATATTTTTCCTATCACTTCTTTTATTATTCTCTCTCTTTAGTTTCTGGCTACCATCAGCTGGGAAAAGAGAACGAAAGCAGGTAAGATAATTTTTGGGGGTCATCTTTTATCATTCAATTTCCTTTTCTTTAGAAAGAATAAATCATTGGCTTCTGATTTTCCTCACATTTCTGCTTGTGCACATGCGGTGAGTAAGATCACTCTCCATCACTCTTGAGTTTTTTGAGAGCTGAGCTCTAAGACTGCTCTATGCTCATCTGTAAGAACTATAGCCAGTTCCCTCCTTAGGTTCAGCTGCAGTTGTCAGCTTCTTATTCATGACACATTTCACAGAAGCCTGGTTTTATGTTAGCTTTTCCCTCTGAGATTCATTTTTACTTATGTGTCCATGTGGATATATAGGCATGTGAGCTCAGGTACCTGCGGAGGCCAGAGGGCGACAGATCTGCTGGACCTGGAGTTTCAGACAGTTGGGAGCTGCTTGACATGGGTGCTGATGAAAACCGAACTTGAGTCGTTTGAAAGAGCAGTACTTGCTCTTAACCATTGAGCTATTGTTTCAGTTTGATTAAAATGTAAGGTGTGTCTCATGTCTCTGGTTTAGTTTGCCATTCAAATCCTGTGCTGTGACAGTCTGAGCATAGGACTCAGAAGGCTTAGCTCCTTTGGGGGAAGTGATGAAGCCCTTGTAGCTTTTTTCTCTTAATCTTTTCCTTGGCTCTCCTTTAGGGTGGCCTTAATACATTCTGGCTTTGAGTAGGATCCATGATTTAAAAGTAACTCATAGTGGTTGTTGTTATGTTTATAAATGTTTGACTCTTTCAGTTTAGAGGTGAGGGTTGCCTTAACCTTAGTTCTGAGCTGTGAAATTGATAGAGACTTATGGGCAAAACTGCTCAGGCTTCCTGTTGCTCCTTGGTTGTCTGGTTGGTTATTTTGGGGTCTAGTTAGCGTTTTATTATGTTACACAGTTTACATTTGCAAAGTTCACTGGGAAGTTGATGTTTCACAATTAACTAGAACAGTGGAAGGTAAAACCAATGTGTGTTTATGAGATGATTTTAGTTCATGTATTTGAAGTTATATATTACAATGTATATAATGTAATTACTATGCCAGACTTACCTTGTGGAAACAGGGAAAAGCTGAGTGTAAGTAATAGTGTAAAGAAAATTCTAAATAAACAGTAGTGCATGTAGTTGGCAGATAAAGGAAGGGTCATGAAGGTGGCATGCAAGAGCTTTGGGGACTATTAAGCTAGCATGTGGATCATATTTGCTTCAGAGCATGCAAAGGCAGGATTTATAGCCATCTTTTGCTCCACATCTATTATGTACAAATGATGAACAATGCATCATGGGTTTTAGCTAGTTTTCCTGAAGTTGCAGAGCTGTGTATTCTAGCTATGTTTCTGTTCTTTGAAGTTACCACTCAAATTCTTTCAGTCTTAAGTCATAAAGTTAACCATTTTTCAAAGGAATGTTTATTGTGGGGAAAGCACAAAGAAGGCTAGCAAACAAAGTGAGGTGCTTTGTACACAGTACCCTATCTGATCCTCAGCTCCTGTTTGGTGCTAAAGATACACTTCACTCTCACAGTCTCAATCACCTTTTAGGGTCAATAATAAGTGAGATTACTTTATGACCTAAAAAGTAGTACTTGAGTTAGCCCTGCCAGTAACCCTGTTATAAGACAAGTAGGGTGGCTGGTGATATACACTGGAGAGGAGTCTAGTGAAATTCAGAGGTGATGTGACTTTTAAACATAAGCAACTCAGTGGTGCATTCAATTAGGCATTCTAACTCTAGGCGCCTTTTGTTTACACTGTACTTACACTGTGTACTGGGATGTGCTATGCAGTTGTCCTTGAAAAGGTAATGTCTTGCTAGTCCTCTTGGGAAATGGCTGATATATAGTGGATAATCATTAGTGTAGGTTCCTGGACTGTCCATTAAGAAATACTGTGTTTTGGCCATTTAAGTGATTATTGCATGAAAGTTTTTCTTGACTAGGAATAGTGTTGTTTGCTATGTGCTGGAACATTATGGACATAAAGTCAGACATGCATAACTTTATTGAATGATATTAATGTTTATGACAGAAGGGTTGGACATAGTCAAAGAGAGCATGTAGGCTGCTCTTTGGAATCAGGTCTCTTTCTTTTAAGCTATACTAAAACAATCTGATTTATCCCCACAGTTTAATCCTCTCTCTCCTCTTTACTCCCTGGATGTTCTTGCTGACGCTTCTCATCGAAGGTGTTCCCCTGCACACTGCTCTGCCAGGTAATTGGCTCCCAGTGGTGATTATGTTCTTTTGGAAAGTGCTGTGTTCCTTTTCATAACACTTGAGATTATGTGGTATATGTGCACAGGATCTGATTTGATCCTTACAACAACCCTTAGAGTAAGTCCATGTTTCACAGGTGGAAACAGGCTGAGGGTGGAGGAATTCCTCCTGTGATCACGTGGCTGTGTCTTCTGACTCGTATTTTGTATTATTTCTGCTGTTAAAAGCCATCTGCAAAGAACATTATTAATGTCCCTTGCCATGACCTGCAAAGCCCTGCATAATCCCTTCTCTGAACGGAAAGATCTAGCAGTACCAGGGAGAGTTCCGTTTTCTTCTTTAAAAATGGCATACCTTTACTCTCATTATCATTGTCTGGAAACCCCTTTGGATCCCTGGGTAACTAAGAGGTCATCTGCAGCACCATCTGGTTCCTCCATAGTTCTTACCTTTGTCTGTAGTGAGTATGTGTACCACACTAGTTCATTTAAAATTCCACCCCTACCCCATTGTCTTTCTCTAGGATACAGAGACCTTGTCTGATTCCCTGATAAATCTCAGCGTGTGCACCTGGCACTTGTTAGGCATTCTGTATGTATATGTCACATTTTTTTTTTATGGATTCCCTTAATTCAGGTGATGCGGAAGTGGGTATGGTTTGATGATAGCATTTCTTAGCAGTGTTATTGTGCATAGAACAGTAACAGTCTGAACCAAAGAACTCTTGTTAGTTTCTTTTCCAAGGTTCTGATGTTTTTTTGTTTTGTTTTTTGCTTGTTTGGTTGGGGTTGGTTTGGTTGATTTTGTGTTTTTTTTTTTTTTTTTTTTTTTTTTTTTTTTTTTTGAGTCAGGCTCTCACTTTCACTATGTAGCTCTGACTGTCCTGTAACTATGTAGACTAGGCTGGCCCCAAACTCACAGATCTGCTTGCCTCTGCCTCACAAGTGGTGGGATTAAAGGGGGGTTGCATTATACCCAGCTTCTGATGCTTTTTTATTAGTCAGCTTGTAAGGAAATGTGCTCATAGACTTGTGCTATAGCTGCACAAAGAAGTAGCTGTTCTTTGAACATAGTTACAAAGAGTTAGGAGAATGAGCCCTGTTGTGTAATCTACTGTTAGGTCTTTCTGCTGAGGAGGTAGTATTTTGAGAAGGAAAGTCTTGAGAGGAAAGGCCATTATACGTAGTGTTGCTAAGAATGTAGAATTGGGGCTGGTACAAGCTTCCATTGTAGGTCTTTACTTCAGTATCATGCTGTTTATCATTCACTCATTCATCCATCCATCCATCCATCCAGCATTTGCTGACTCCCTACTATGTGCAAAGACCTTTGTTTTTGTTTAGAACTGAAGCTCTCATGAGAAAATCAGATATGGAAACTGATAGCTATGATGAAAGTTTGCACCCGGAAGCTGTAACACACAGAGGTGGGGTTCCTAATGTAGGCCCATGGAGGGTTTTCTGGATTTCAGTCCATAGAAGCACCTCTGTTTTTTGTGTATTTGTAGTAGCTGTGCACTTTTTGGGAAGATCAGGTGAGCAGCACCGCACAAACCCAGCACACAGTGGACTGCCCTGCCCTCCTTGCATTAGCAAGTCTCTCTTCTTCCATTAGAAGCCTCTCCCCACTCTCCTGTACCCAGAGCTAGATTTATGATACTCTGTGCATCTTGTTACTTTGCCATTATTGTTGCTCTCTTGACTGGTGGCATTTGTGGGTAGCCTTTGAAATATTAAGAAGTCTCAGCCAAGCTTCTAGTGTGTACAGCTCAGGGAGTGCTACTGTTGCTTTGTGCTCTTGCTAGAAGCAAAAGAGAGAGAATGGAGGCCATTACCAGTTGTCTTTGTCTTGTCTTTAGGAGCAGACCCAGATTAGTAGGCTAGGTGCAGGTCTTTTAAGTTGGGAGGAAAAAGCTTAACAGTCATTATCTTATCCTTAAATTTCTCAGTTTTAAATTATATACCTCTGTTTGGCCTAGTAGCACATGTGTGTGCATTGTGTGCGTGTTGTATGTGTACTATCTTCTGCTCCTTGCAGTTTTCACTTAATGAAGGATGCAGGAAGATCTGAAAGGTGCTGCTCTGTGGAATGATCAAAGTAGGTGTCCGTGGTACAGGTTTCAGAAAATATGAGTGAGAGACACTGAGTTCTTAGGGATAGCTCTCAACCCTTTAGAGTGATGGGTCTCCATGCAGCAAGGTGTCATTGGGGCAGGACCTGTCTGACTCTAGTTTGGGGGACTTGTACGATGGGATTTGGAATCACTCAGAGTCTTTTAAGAAGAGTGGACCTTTTAGCAAATGCCTTGCATCAAGGAGCGGGTGTAAAGGAGCAGAGTGCTGGAGAAGAGGTAGCATTACAAAGTGTTTCGGATGGAAATTTTATCTTTTTCTTGTCCCATTTTATTTGTAGTAAGAAGAAATTCCGTTCAAAGCATCTGGGCAGCACTGGGAATTTTACACCCATCATTAGAACGATTTGTGCGCGTGTGTGGTGACTGTGTTATCATTAGTGGTATAATTTTATTTTGCAAAGAGAGAAGTGTTTCCTGTTTTATCACAGCTTTCCCTGAGGAGGGCTGCTGTATTAATTTGCTGTATTGCCTCCTGGCTGTTCCCAGGCTGTTTTCCTCTTCATCATGGAATTTGTAATGGCCCTCGTGCCTCTTGGGAAGCATGTGAGGAAGAGTTCCTCGGGGAGTGCTTCCCTTTTTTCACATGCCTATAATTACTCTCCTTTAAGAGCACAAAGAGTCTGATAATCATGCCTGGGCTCTGAAGGTTCCCTCCTGTCAGGGATCTGAGCTGAGCTACTTCCTTGCTGGACACTGCTGGCTACACTCTGCTCGACTTCAGCATCTGAACATGACCACCTCAAAAAGCACATACAGCTTGGGACTTCAGAATAAGCTGAGGCCACTGGGGTATGGTGAGTGACCTCAACTACTGTAGCTTAGCATTTCAATATAAGCAAATAAATAACAAGACCTAATTTAAGGTAACACTAAATGGATGTGTCATTTGGCAGGTGGAGACTTGTGGAGGAGACTTTTGTGATTGTTGTACCATTCAATACATTTGTAGGTTCTCTCTAGAAATACTTCAGTTTGGTGGTAGTTTTCAACTCTTACTCTACTTGGGAGTTATCTTAAAAAATGCATCCATAGGCATTAAGGGAGATGGCACTGGGATGTGAGTTTGATCCCTAGCAGCCATCCCTCCCCCTCTCCTCCTCCTCCTCCTCTTCCTCCTCCCCCAAGCTAGACACCTCAATATGTATCTATAATTTCAGCACGGAGGAGACAGAGACAAGAGGGTCCCTAGGGTTTGCTGGCCAGACACTCTAGCCAAGTCAGGAAAGGCCCAGGCTCCATCTCAAAAGTTGGAAAATAATTGAATAAGATACCTAATACTTCCAGTCTCCATGCTCATGTATGTGCACCTGATGCAAATGTACACACAAAAGCACATATGTGAACACACACATGCACTCAAATTAAAAACAGTAATGACCATCCGTACTGAGCCTGTCCAGTGCAGGCCAAATGCTGTTGATCTGGGGAAAGGCCCAAACATTGACGTGATCTTAGAGCTTCTGAAGTGACTGCTAGGCAACCAAGGTTAAGAGCTGTTGCCCCAAGTCCTGGCGGTTTCATGACTGGTCCTTGTGTAATGGGTACAGGTCCCATGTTTGGGTGTTGTGAGCATCATTCTTCATGGAGGCAGACCACTGGGATTCCTTAAGCTTCCAGGTGAAGAAGCATTGATTAGCATGGTGTACAGCACATAGTTGATGAATGAAGAACGGCAGAGTTTCATTGGTGTGGAGTGGTACGTGAACATTTGGCTGATGTCTGGGTACAATCCATACAGCTGTTTTAGTTTAGTTTTGTTTGCTGGCATGCCAGCATTGTTATTTACTGTTGAAATAGTAATGTGCTGTGCTAAGAGTTGCTGCTACACAAACAGCAGATGGAGTGGTTGGTGTTCTCGTAGAGGCAGTGGTATTGTAGTCAGATTCACAATGAGACAGAGCTGTGGGCAGTTTTCCCCAAAATGAGATTGACTGTGAAGAACCTTATCCTTAGCATGTTACCTTCAGAGGACAAGTAGAAACTACCAGTTGCTACATCTGACACATGTTACTGGCTGACATATTTGAGTACTTTAAAGCAGTTTTTAGTTTTCTCTAATCCCTGTGTCAGTCCCCCTGATTTGGTAATGCATCTATTTCCAGTTCTGAAATAGGAAAACACTGTTTTAGTATCTTTCCCCTGATCCCTAAGTAGGCCAGTTTCCTTGTAAATAAGCTTTTTCATTTGTGAAATCTTATTTTCACCTGAGTAAGGGTGGCAGATTCCCAAGCATGTATTCCTATAATAAACATGGGTTTTACTGAGAGAACAAAAGATCTCAGCGTCTCCTGTTGTCATCGTTGCTCATGTGATGTTGGGAAGAACTAGCATTAAGGGCATGGGAATTAATGTATGGTAGATGCTAGCCAGAATCTTGGGTTTACCCGGACACTCAACCTCATTGTTCCTCCGTTTCCACATGTTAAAAACGGAAACTTTTTTTACAGGGATTGAAATGAAGTAATGTATCTAAATACGCAGCAGTCTGGCAACCAGCAGTTGTTGGGTTGCTTCCCTATCTTGTCTTAGGGTGATTTCAATCTTAAGACCTTTGAGCTGGCTCCAGACTTATTTGCTAATGAGATGCCGTACAGATTCTTGAGGGCCTTAGATGGCCTCAATTGACTCTAAGAAGAGTCCATTGGACAGTGCTTAGCTAGAAAGAAAGAGACCCTCCTGCCCATTAGAGAGTTGAAATATGATGGGCCTAGCTCATTGTAATTCATTTTATCTGTTCACAAGCATTACAATCTGCATATCAGAGTTGTGTGCCCAGCTGGCTGTGCCACTTGACAAGGCGTTTCAAAGAGCAAGAAGAAGACTCAATTCATGCTATTAATTTTGACCTTTGGAGCCATAATAAACAGCCTCAGGTTTTACCCCAGGGCTTGGGGGAAGGAACCTTTTATTAGTCCACTGTCTGTCTGGGCTGCTGTGACACATCACAGCCCCCACTCAACTCTTTAGTGCCTTGGTTTCAGCCCTGTGCGAGGAAGGATTTTGCTGTAATGGCACCCATCCATATATATATATATATCCTCCTGCCATGTAGCACACAGTTCTTGACTCTTCTTCTCTTGAAGGCTCTTGGATGGCTGCCATTTTACTGCCTGTGTGGAGTGATGAAAGCACTTTCTGCCTGTCCTTCCATGTAATACTCATCTTCCCAATGGGTCCCAAGCAGTTCTGCTCCCGTGGATAACATCCCGCCTTGACCACACCAAAGGAAGAAGTTAAAGGCAGTTTTAAATGCTGGGAGCCCTTTACCACAGCTTGCTAAGGATTAGGTTTAAGGGGGAGGCCATCAGGGAGTTGTTAGTCTTTGCTTGCTAGTTGAGAGCTTGTCCCTTGTGTAATTGTGAAGTGAGCTTCTCCCCATCTTGTCACAGACCTATGCAGGTCAGGGAAGGAAGGTCTTTTCCTCCACTGGGTGTTTAATAAATGCTGGGACCCTGAAAAGATGACCACAGGTGAGGCAGGGTACTTTTGCTTCTCCACATGCGATCCCCTTCTCCCTCTTACCCAGTGCTTGACTTGTTCCTTAGTTATGACTGATTCAGTATTCATTCTCTGTTTATGAATCCAGCTTCCCACCATGCTGTGAGCTTCTGGGGACAGACCCATGGGACAGTCACCATGGATTTACCCTATGTGCCTCAAGCATAGAGTTCTACACAGGGCAGGCCTCCATAAATTTTTGTTGAAAAAAAAAAATCTGAGGTTAATAGATTCGTAATTAAGGAGAATAATTAGAATATACACTATGTATGACCTTTGGTCCTTACTAACATCCATTTTTTTCCCTCAAGTGTTACATAAGGAGAAAATATAGCAAATAAATACCTCTTTTTGTTGTTGTTTCAAACACCAAAAATGAAGTTTTTCATAGCTTTAAAAACAAGTAGTTTTGAAGGTGAACTATTCCTTAGATTAGCTTGCCATTGGCAGACAAAAGAATGCTTTTGCTCCTTCTGAGTGACTTTCAGTATCTTTGTTCTAAACCAGAAGCAGTCACTTGAGTTATTATTTTTGCCAGCACTGGTTCTATTAAACATGCATGTATTTCTCTCAAAGTATTTTTCCCCCTAAAAGTACATTCCTGCCCCTGGGACATAGTAATCTGCCCAGTTTCCTAAGTAACACAGTTTGGGCAGCTCACCTGATCCTTCATTCTCTGCAGGAAAATAAAGTAGAAATGTTATGTTTACATGAGGGTATAAAGAGTTCTTTTCTTCATTAATTGTTAATCTTCACCATTCACCTTCACAGAAGAATTTACTTACTGCTTATGAAGTAATATATTTTTAAAGTCTATTATCTATTAATAATTATTCTGTATCCCTTCCCATCGTAGAGAGAGAGGGGTGGAGGGAGGGAGGGAGTGTTTGTGTGTGTGTATGTGTCTGTATGGTATGTGTGCATGTTTGTGCATGGGTCTGTGTCTACCCGCTTGAACATTAAGTCCAGAAGTCACTGTTGATGTCTTTCTCGTTGCTCTCCACCTTATTTTTTTTTTATTTTTATTTTTTGCATATATTTGTTTGGGGATGCACCTGTGCCACACAGAACTCTTGTTGAGGTCAGAGGACAATTTGTGGGAGTTGTTTCTTTCTTTTCACTGTTTGGATAAAATCCACTGGGGATAAAATCCAGGTCTTTGGGCTTGGGCACCTTTACCCATTGTGCTGTCTCACTGACCCTCCAATGAACTCTAGGAGTTCACTTGTCTCTGCCTTCCTAGTGCTGGCATTACAAGTGCATGCTGTTTTGCCTGGTCTTTTTGTGAGTGTTGGGGACCCAAACTCATGTCTTTATTAATATTCATCATGCACTTTACCTGCTGAGCCATATGCCCAGCTCCTAACCCCCAGTCTTTGGCAAATGCTGCCACAATTCACAGTAGGAGACTGTGACACCAGTAGGAGAAATACAGATTCCAGCATTTCATATTGTGAAAGAACTGCCTACCCTAAGTACTCACTGGTCTTTGGTAGATAGTCCTGAGACCTAGGCAGATGAAGCAGGAGAGAGCCAGTCTCTCTCTTTGGGTTCTTGGTGTCTATACTGGGAACTATATTTTTATTATTTAAACTTTATTTAATTAGTATTTAGCCTAAGTATTTAAACCTCTGTTACTGACTAGATTATCACAGTAATAAGGTACTACCAGAATTATCTAGGAGCACATTTCAAATAAAGCTTTTTCTGATCCTGTATACTAAATACAGATCTTAGCTGGACATGTGTATTTTATGAAAACTCTTTACATGATTCCATTAACCATTTGTCATACCAATCAAGAGTGCTGTTTTAACCTGGTGAACACACAGGCTTAACTTCTGAATAGCCTCCCTTGTTCCTGAGTAGCTGGGATGATCCTTTCCCCAGCACATGCTGGTCCCATTTATTAGCTGTTGATCTTAATGCCTGCCCTATTCTGTTTAGGAAGTTTTCTCCTGTTTAGGAAGTTTTCTCCTGTGTCAATGCATTCAAGGCTATTCCCCATTTTTCCCCCCCTTAGGTTCGGTGTATCTGGCTTTATGTTGAGGTCTTTGATTCACTTGGACTTGAGTTTTGTGCAGGGTGATAAATATGGATCTATTTGCATTCTTTTACATGCTGACATCCAGTTAGACCAGCACTATTTGTTGAAGATATTTTCCCCATTATATATTTATGGTTCCTTTATAAAAAATATCAGGTGTCCATAAGTATGAGAATTTATGTCTGGGTCTTCAATTCAGTTTCATTAGTCAACCCATCTGTTTTTATGTTAATAATATCCGGATTTTATTGCTCTGTAGTAGAGCTTGAAATCAGGCATGGTGATACCTTCAGAAGTTCTTTTATTTAACAGGATTGTTTTAGCTGTATTGGCTTTTTTGTTTTTCCATATGAGGTTGAGTATTGTTCTTTCAAGTTCTGTAAAAAAAAAAAAAAAAATTGTGTTGGAATTTTGATGGGGGATTTCATTGAAGCTAGATTGCTTTTGGTAAGATGGCCATTTTTACTATGCTAATCCTACCAATCCATTAGCATGGGAGATATTTTCATCTTCTGATACTGTCTTCAAAGGCTTGAAATGTTTGCTTTTTTAAAGTTTATTTTGTATCCAGCCACTTCACTGAAGGTGTTTATCAGCAGTTGAAGTTCCTTCATAGAATTTTTGGGGTCACTCATGTATACGATCCTGTTTGTTTTTAAATAAGTTTATAGAGGAGAGAAAAGATGGCCAATGCTTACCTGAAGTCTCTGTGGCAGAGCTTGACCAAGTTAGGAGAAAGCATGTGATCAGGGCTCTTGCTTGTGGAAAGCTGGAACTCTGACCTGTCTCTCGATCAAGGAGAGTACTGCAATGCCACTTCCTCTTCTACCTAGTCTTGGCATCAAAGTGTTTGTCCATCCAGACATCCCATGTACCTTCGGTATTCTGTCACTCCAGACGTGTGTGCAGGAGCATGTACATACATACAGGAGGGTGTCCATGAAGGTCAGAAGGGGGCACTAACTCCCTGGAAATGGAAGTACAGGCAGGTATGACTTACCTGATGTAGGTACTGGGAATGGAACTGTGATTCTTAGCAGGAATATCAGGTGCTCTAACTCCTGATCTCTCTTCCCACTCCCACACACTAGGCGGCGGTGGCTTTGGTGGCGGCGGCTTCTCCTCCTCCTCCTTCTCCTTCTCCTTCTCCTTCTATGGGCTATAGTTATGTATTTTAACATTTCCTATTTTTAGCTACTTTTTTAGGGTTCATTCATTCTACCAGTTGATTTTTAAAATTCTTATTCCTTTTAAGTTCTGGTCACCATATACTTAGTGAGGATCATCTCTTGCCCTGTGCTGAGGTTGATGGATCATTGGATAATTATGAAAGAAGTATAAATATGGCCAATGCTCTCAGGACCCCTGTTCCTAATCTCAAGGGGATTAAGCCTCATTAGGGAAGCATGATGTATTTTCACCAGCCAGATAATGATTCATGGCATGCGGTAAGCCCCCCAGTGTTCAAGGAAAGCTTTGTGTAAAAGTGACACTCAGCTTTATCAGGCAGTCTGTCCAGACTGCAGAAAAGGATGAAGTCAGGGACTAGGGAATTATGATACTATCTCAGAGATTTCAGTGTTAAGTCTGTTGTTTCACAGAGAATCTTGTTTTTCTGGGTTAGAGTATTTAGATATATTATTAGTGAAATAAGCTGAATATCCTCACAATGGAACATGTTAGTTGACATAATTTATACTTTTGAAAGTGACAGAACAAAATATTTAACTTGTGGTATAAACACATATTAAAAATCAAGATTATCAGGGCTAGAGGGTTGACTTAAAGGTATTTAGAACACTTTGGTGTTCTTAAAGTGAACTCAGCTTCAGTTGATCTCCAGTACCCATTGAGTGGCTCGCAATTGTCTGTAACTCCAGTTCCAGGGGATCCGAATCCCTTCTCCAGTCTCTGTAGGCATCAACATCAGACACAGACAGGAGATACACACACACACACACACACACGCACGCACGCACGCACGCACGCACGCACACACACACGCACGCACGCAGACAAAACACTTGTACATATAAAATAAAAGTTTTAAAAACCCAGATTATGCGGTGGCAGCAGAGTTAAACAAACTGTAATTCTGTGTAAATGTCCCTGTTCACAGGGCATTAACCCTTTCTATGCATTATCATGCAGGACTAGGTATTTTATTAGTGAATTTAGCTCAGTTGCAGTTAGAGTTTTCATGTAAAAGCATTGAATAAAAAGTCACATAATGAAGCACATATTTATTGAAATTTAAATGTCTGTTTTCCCAGAAATCTGGTAAAAAAAAAAGTACAGAGTGCCATGTAATGTGGGTTATGCATAATTCTGGGTTTGTCCAGAGGCTTCAATGATTAGTGGCAAAAGATGATGCCTGTTTTGTTAGCATATATTTATAATGGGTCAAAGATTTCATCTGGACAGTATAGTGTATTACAAGTACCACAAAGTAAACATCTTTTTCTTCTTCTTTCTCCTTTCATTTCTGCAGGCAGGCAAAGGTACACTGGGGACCACCCTGTTCACATGACATTAAGAGGAAACGGAAACCTGTGGCCTCAGCATCTTTATCTAGCTCTAGTACAGGTGATTATGTACAGTTGTCATTCATAGAGTACCTGTTGTGTACTAAACACTAAATGATGTGTTTTATATACCTTCCCTTGGAATATTTGTGAAAAGGAATCTTTATTCCTATTTTTATATAAGAACATTGAGATGCTGAGAAGTAATTTTCCCAGTTCTTTCTTACAGTGGAGTCTACTTTTTCATTCTGTCACTTGGCATTTTGCATTTCTTTGTCAGCTATTCCCAGGCATTTGAACCTTTGTTGTAGCACAAACAGGAGAGGAGGTCCATGCTGATGAAATCCAGCTGGATAACAGCTTGGTCAGTAGTCAGTGGTTACCTGGGCTCATTTACTTTCCGCTTTGAAAAATAATTTTTATGGTCAAGCAGTGATGGCACACGCCTTTAATCCTAGCACTCAGGAGGCAGAGCTAGGTGGGTCTGTGTATGTTCAAGGCCAGCCAGAGCTACACAGAAACCCTGTCTTGAAAATCAAAGAAAGTAAACCAATAAAAATAAAACAGTAATTTTTATTTTATTTTACATATATGAGTGTTTTGCCTGCACGTATATCTGTATACCGTGTGTGCCTGGTGCCCATGGAGGCCAGAAAAGGGTATTGAATTTCCTAGGACTATAGTTATAAATGATTATAATGATTATATATATAGTTATAAATGATTATGGGTGCTGGAAATAGAACCTGGGTCGTCTGGAAGAGCAGCAGTCCTCTTAATCACTGACCCAGCTCTCCAGCCCCTGCTGGCTCCCTCTTCCACTCCCTTTTTCATTCCTTCCCTCTTTCCCTCCCTCTCTCCCTTTCTTGGTTATTTAGAAGTAGGGTCTCACTATATAGCTCCGGCTGTTTTGCAACTCACTATGTAGACTATAAACCAGGCAGGCTGTCAACACAGAAATCCATCTGCCTCTGCCTCCCAAGTGCTGGGATTAAAGGCTTGTGCCACTACACCTGGCTTTGTTTACTTTCTTAATTGGTTTATACAGCACAGTGTATTCTCACTGGTTATGTATAATAGTATGTCCATTTTTTACTCATCATGAGTTGTCTAATTAAAAACATTTTCAGGTTAAACTTTTTTAGTTTCTGTATAAAATTTATGCCAGTTGGTAGAAGCTAAAATAGTGTTGGGAGAGTGACCAAGAGAAGATACAGAACAGTCTGGGGCTCTGGAAATGCTCTGTATTACAAACCAGGCAGGTTGTCATGGGTTTATATGTGCATAAAAGTCTTCAAGCTATACACTTAAGGTACACATATTTTATTACAATGTTATCAGAGATATTATATGTCAAGCCTATTGCAAATTACTTCCCTTAGATAAACTATAGATTGAACATCTCTTAAAAACCCCAAATCTGAAGCAGTTTGAAATAGGAAATTTTTGAGCACTGGAATGCACTTGTAAGTAGAATTCTCCAACTGACTTTGTGTGATGAGTTGCAGTCAGAAGCAAGCACAGAAAAGTAGCATGTATACATGTATACATGACCTTTCAATGTATACATATATACATGACCTTTCAACTATAAGTATAAGATATTTGTGAAACCAACAGATTTAAACCCAAAGCACTTCTGGACCTTGGATAAAGCTGACTTATCCTGTGCTACATATTACACATTTCAGGTCAGTTGTTGGCTGAGTAAAGATAAACAACAAACAATTATGGATCCCACCCCCTTGCCTTCCCTGAGGGACTTTTCAGCTACTCTGAAATAATACCCCTTTGAGCTTCTTTCTGTGGTGACTGCTAATCAGTAGCTCATCCTGAACAATCTTAATCATAGACCTAATGACGACTGTGAATTCTGTAGTTGTTTCCACCTGCACAGATTCTGAGCTAGGCACTTTGTGTACAGTACTTCATTTGACCTCTGCCTCAACTTTCCTGGATAGACGCAGTTCCATCCCACTGGTGTGTGAGCAAACTGAGGTGTCAGTTAGTGAGATAGAGGGTCAGGTCAGATGCTTCCCTGATGTGCTGGACCCACACTTTAAACTCCCAGGTGTCCCTAGTATGTACAGGAGGGTTGATTATCCCAGACCAAAAAACTTAGCTCCTCAGCCAATTCAGGCAGTTTAAAGACTTAAAACCTTTCCTCATAGCGTTTATCCCCCACCCCACCCCCCTACCCCCTGCCGCCCTTTTTTGTCTTATTTTTTGCTCTTGCTTTTCCCCCAGTTCTGGGGATCAAACCTAGGCCCTCATGTCTATAGGCAAGAGCTTTGCTGCTGAACTACAGCCCCAGCCCTGCTTTAATGCGTTATGAGGACAGAACCATTGGGAAGAGTTGATTCCACATTCAAAGCAGGAAATGTATTTAGTGTATTGAAGAAGACATTAGCTGTGTTTCCCAGGGGAGCCCTCTCCTCTCCACTCACTTGTTGACTAAGCCCTGCTTCACTGAGCACTTCCTTTTTTTCTACCCACAACCTGAGTGCCCCGTGGAGGTGAAGGACACAGCCTGAGCCTGTGCCATCAGTCAGGAGAACAAATGGGCTTGCTCTGCCTACCATCGGGCCATCTCCGATTCCACCTCTTTTATAGAAATGAGTGATGAAGAGAGGCGCGTCCCGCTTTGCCGCTGTATTAATACACATCAGGGGCCAGCTCCTGGCACTAAATCACACAACTGCATACATCTGTTATCAGCTCTTCACCAGTGTGATGAACAAGACTGCAGATAGAGGCTTCCTTGTGTCATTCTTTATAGGATTTTCCTAAAAGAATAAATAGCTCAGATCCCTGCCACACTCTACCTGTCACTGTGATGAATTCAGCTTCTTTCTTAAGCATGCAGCCACAAATCTCTGCCCTTCCCCCACCCATACGAAGTTTGAGTTGAAATTGACTGAATTTAAAGATGTTAGTAAGGCTAGAGGGGTGAAGAAAGGAAGAGACACAGAAGTCTCCTTTGTTTGGTTTGTTTGTTTGTGTAGTACAAAGGCCTGGAGAAAGGACCCTTTCAGGATCACTAAGTAGCTCCTTGAACTAGAACACTGTTATTTTCTTGTTTTTGTCTCTGCTCTCCTTCCCTCTCTGACTTTATAGCATGCAGAGGTTTAGTGCACAGTGCTGTTCCCTGGATCCTAGCGAGTAAGTGTGCAGACCTTTTCTAAGACTGGTACGTGAGGACAGGAATTTGCCAGCAAGCCTATACCACTTGCTGAACTGAGCTAGCTGTGCTTGGCTCTTAAAGAATGTATTGGGGGTCCGGGGAGAATGACTGTTTCCTTCAAAACTTGAGAATAAGTGACTCTAAGCAACGTAAGGCACTTGGGCTTAATATTAAACCAGTGTCACAGCCCTGAGCATTCAAACTCCTCCTCCTCCTGAGGATGAATCCTGTTTTTTGGAATAAGGGAACTGGAGCCACTGGAGATTCTGTTCAGAGCCTGGATAGTTTGGGCTATTCCTAAAACCTTTTCCCAACCTTGCATTCCCTGGGATTGCACCCATCATTCAGAAGCCATTTCACAGATGATCTGTTACTTAGTTACTAGTTTTTAATGTCTGTTCGCTGCTAAGGACACCAAACACTAGAACAGGCCCACTTCTTTTTCCATTTTTATTGGCATGCACGAAACTGATGGTTGTCGCTATGACACCCCATACATGTAGATAACATACCTTGATCATCTTCAGTCTCCTATTTTCACATACTTCTCTCCCCTGCCACTGTTCCCCTCCTTTACCTCTAAGCACTCCTTTTTTATATGGTGTGGTTTTCTTAGTTATTATTGTGGCATGAATAAAATACATATAAATATATATAACCTATTGAGCTCACTTAGAGTTGCTCATATGTAGACTTTTTGGGACTGATCACTTGGTGTTGGATAGTCACTTAAGGGTCTCATCCTTGGGGGAGACCAATCTCCCTCTCTCAGCAGTCATTTCTTTTCTGTAGTTCTTCATCTAGGGACGGGGCCTTTGTCCGCTCCCTCTGTCCGTGTTGGCATGTCAGTTGGTGTAGTCATTGTTCAGGTCTTATTTAGGCAGCCATTCTGTTGGTATTTTATGACTAGCTTCCTTCTCTTACATAGAAGACATAATCTCACAGCAGATATCTTGGTCCTCTAGCTCTTGCTGTCCTCCTCACCTCTGCCTTCTTGGTAGTCTCTAAGCCTTAGATGCAGTGTTGTGTTGTACACAGTGACTGCCATAAGCTATCACCAACAGTACAGTAGTGGTTCTCATATCTTGGGAATAACCAACAGCTATCAGGTTGGTCTTAAGACCTGGTCATTAGGAAGGAATTCATGCCTGGGACTCCAAACCTAGACAGCTACACATGACTGGAGGTTATAGAACCTGGAGGAACCCACTGCTATCACTTTCTTAAACCAGTGTATCTCTAACTGCATTCTTACTACGAACCCTTCTACCCACAGATGAGTGTGGCTCTCACTCATTACCAGGGAAGCTCTTCTCTATTTCAGTAGATGGAGTCCTCACTCATTACCAGGGAAGCTCTTCTCTATTTCAGTAGATGGAGTCCATCGCAGCTAGCCAAACTAACTGACGAGACTATGAGAGAACTGACCGTGGGCTGCCTAGCCCCAGTGTATCTAAATTAATATTATCTTAAAGTCAAAACAGTATTCTCCATATTATTCTAACTCCTAGGAGAATATCTGATTGCTATAAAAAGAACATTGATAGTCGATACAGTAGGTGTAAAGAGAAAAAATTCAGCTAACAAGAAAAACCTTCCCCCTCTCCTCAGTGGTGTTAGTTTTCCTACTTTTGTTTTAATCATCACTTTTATTTTTTAAAGTAGTTTTAACAGATAGATATATCTCTAGAGAATATGTTGTCTTTTTTTTTTAACATTTCTGAACCATGCACAAAAGAATTCATATCTTACAAGATTCATGCATGTTTTGTTGTGCAAAATCCTTTGTTTCTGACTGCCACACACAATATCTGCTTGTATGAGAAGGCCTGTGCCACAGCTCAGTGATCTTGATTGCATTGAATTGTATTCTGTTTTATACCATTGTGAAAAGCACTGTGTTCTGGGAGAGGGTGGTGCAGACATTCTTCTGTGTTACTTGTGGCTCATTCAGTGGTGGTCTCAGAGACCAGACAGTACTAAGCCTTGGCAGAGATATGATTGGAGCCCTTCAACGTTTTTGGTGGAATGTAAAATTGTACATCCTGTAGAAAACCATGGCAGTTTCTCAAGACAGCAATCACAAAAAGGCCTTGAAATCTGCCAACTCTGCTCCTGGTTATATCACCTAAAGAATTAAAAGCAGAAATTTCAAAATTGTTTGAAGTTATTATCATTTATTTGTATAGCCCAGAACTCAGGGGCTACAGCAAGAAGACCATGAGTTTGAAGCCAGCGTGGCCTACGGCAGTGGGGTAGGGAATCCTGATTATGCAAAATTATACAGTGCCTAGCACACGAGTAAAGTGTTTCAGTTTTTTCCTGTATCTATCTGTTCTACTGTATTTATTCCTGGAGAAATGGTTCGTAAATTTGACTTTTTTTTTAAAATGAAGAATATAGTAAACCTTATGACGCCCCTTGGGTGAATTGAGCATGGAGTATAAAGATTAAGAAACATATTTCTCAGCGCCTCTTATCCTAACTTCTTAAACTAACTCATCTCCCCTTCTTACTTCTGTTGTGAAACATAGTGCACCCAGATGTGCTGGAGCCAGCCACCCCACCCCAGAAGCCTCCCCACTCCGAGTGCTTGGACAGGACCTCTGCAGCAGAGAAAGCCACTGCCTCCGCTCCTGCCACGTTTTTCAAGATGCCACATGAAAAGAGTTCTGGATGCAGCTAGAGCCCAGTAGCTGATGGGTGTTGAAACTGTATTGTACAGTCTTGGTGTCCTAATTGACATTCCTGGTCCTTGCACTACCAGGACCAACTCCTCTTCACATGCAGCAGAGACTCTTTCTTTTGGAAAAAGATATTTGGGGAATCTTTTTTTTTTTTTTTTATAAAGTATCAGGGCGCGGTTTTCTTTAAAGGGGGTGGGGCATCTTCTGCTGTATTCCTTACTTTGTTGTTAGCCCTCTGTTTACCTCCAGCTGCCTTCCTAGAGCTGTTGCTCCTTGGCAGCTGTGTCTTTGTTCCTGGAAAACTAGTAACAGCTTTTGCATACCTTCTGTGTAGAGCTTTTAATATCACTGATGAAGTCCCAAATTCACAGCCAATTCCAGACACGTTCCTGGATGGAATTGTGTCTATGCAGCACCGCTTGCCATCGAGCCTTTATTCACTCTGTGCCAGTGAGATACACCAAACAAGTTCTCAGTTTGGGGCCTCAATGGAGACACCTGCAGGACAGGTTGGGACTTCTTCCACTTGGCCTGCACTTGGACTGAGGGGATCACCAGCAGCTGCATTGTACTTGACCTCATCCTCATGGCCTGTGTTCTGCTCACAGGGTGTGTTTAAGCATGGAGGTTGGTACACTCAAATGCAGGTGGTGGTTTAGGTGCACAGCAAAATAGTCAGTGGATAGTGTTTGCGCTAGCATTTCTGATCCTGGTCTAAGGCTTGTATCCTGAGTGGGACTTAACTATTAGTGTTCTATAGCTCAGTAGCCAGTGATGAATAGGGACTCATGCTCTGTTATCTGTTACAGTAATGACTGCTTGGGGCCATGCTTTGGGAAGGAAAAATGTCTTTTTGACATGCCTCTATGTGGCATGTTTATGACTGCTCAGCCGCATGTAGAGTTGTATATACGGTTGTACCTGAAGTCCGATGTCACTTTGTCACAGTGAGGAATATGTGACTGCCTGGAGCTGCTGGGGAAAGCCACATTTCCCCAAAGTATTATCAAGAGCACCCTGTCAAGCAGACCTCTGTGTCAGCCTAGTGCTTTTACTCTGAAATACACAGGAGCTGTTTGTGAAATGCTCACTGCTTTAGTCACATGGGACAGAACACATCTCCCTTAGGTGCCTCTTCTTCCCACAGTGTAATTGTCCCTTCCACACAGTGTGAGTAATGTGACGTGGCAGTGGGTGAGTCTGTTTGGAAAGGGAACATGAGGCTGTCTCTTGTAGATTCTGTGGAAGGCTGAGAATGTGCAGCTGACCATAAGAGAGTGGTGGAGGGAGGTGCAGAGAGAGTTCATACAATGGGAGGGCAACACCAAAGCCTCCAGTCCCCAGAGTCGCCCTGGTTCTTACAGGGAAGGACTGCCCTAATGGGTGTCACAGCTGCCTCCACAGAAGATAGGGAATGTGGCTCAGAGATGAGAGTGGGCCGTGTCTTGCATTCTTACCTAGTTCCTGCAGTGACATATGGAACACATTTCTAACTTTCTGGGTTGGGCTAAGGGAGAGATCTACTGATGACACTTTTAAAATGTTTCCAAACTGGTTCATGAACATGTTGACCCTGATGATGGCTTGTTAGACCTCCACAGTTAGGTGCAAACACATTCCTGTAGCTCTCCTTTGTGGTACATTGCTAGGTCATCCTCCTCCTACCTGGGATTTAAAGTAGTTTATAGATGCATATTTATTTACACTTTAAATATCTCTCTGAAGCCATGCTAATTTTCAGATGTGAAGGCAGACTTGCATACTGTACTCAGGCACGTGAGTCAGCCTAAACAAACTATAGACTTTCATGCTATTCTGCCATGGGTTATATAATCTGTTGTTTCTCGTTGGTCTCCCTAGGCCAATGTGTATGAAGCTTTTTCATGGATGTTTATCATCTTTCTTGGTCATGCATTTCTACACATTTCTGAACACTTTTGATAGGGATTACCCAAAATTGTAGTATCTTCTTATAATGAATGGGAATAAAGTTATTTACATGAGAAAATAGAATATTAAGTGCACAAATACTTTCTGATATGGTGTTGTAAATTACGCTCATTTTAAGGTGTAAATGCATGCTTAGGGAAGTCTTTATTCTGCTGTTTCTCTGTCAACCAGCTTCAGGGGCTAACTTTGGTATCAGCTATATTTTAAACCTTACATTTAAGAATTTTTATGACACAGTAGATAATGTCATAAATTAAGATCTGCTTCTTAAGGAAAGATGCGGTTTTGTTGTCAGTATTGAAAATGACCAGACAGACCTTGAAGATGACATTGATTGCACTCGTGCATTGGATATCAGGAATTAATGGAGTCAGGTGTCACAGCTCTGACTTCTAGGCTCTGATATATCCTTATGGACTACACAGATGTTTCTCTTAATTTCACTGTTGTATTTTTTCTATAACAGACAAAGGTCATATTACCTACTTGAATGACGTCCATTCACAAGTCGTTAGCTTTGCTGAGGAGTTTGAGGAGACTTGAGATTATTTTTCACATGCAGCATTTAAAGGAAGAGCTTCATTTGTATCGAACCCCTGGGTAGCTCTTGGGTTAGAACTGATGAGAAGAGGAATTCAGTGCTGTTTATGTGGTGCTACATTTGGAGAGACAGAATACAGTTTTTCTGAGTGGCACGTGGTTGGCCCTTGAATTCTTTAGAAATCAGTTGCAATGAGATTTTAGATGGTATTAGCTCTTAAACAAGGCAGTTCTCACAGCAGATGACCCAAAGTAAATAAAGTGTCTCAATCTGTGGTGCTTATGAGATCTTTTTTTAAAATAAAATTCAATGTGTATAGCAAGTAATTTAATTATCAGTCCTAAAAAAGATTGATTAAGCTTTGCATTTGGGGATGAGAGACAGAAAGCATCTAGCTATCTACCTTTTTGACTATCTTCTAGCTATCATATTTATCATCTACCATTCATCAATCATCTATCTATATCTGCTCATCTGTTCATCTATCTACAGTTTCCTTTCATGGTCTAGGAAGTTCTGTGTTAACCTTAGTTAAGCCACTGAGTACTTAGAGTTATAGGTACTAGGAGGAGCTGCCAGACAGCCATGGTCATGTCTGGTGCAATTGGTTCTTTGGCTCTAGGTATAGGGTTATGGGGATGCATGGTTCATGTAATGTCTTTGCTCTGTTTTGGCATCATTGCTGTGGTTCTGAGCAATGTGTTTTTATCTCTCCCCTTCCTGGGCAAAATGCCTTGGATACACCTCAGCAGCAGAAGCTGTGTTCAGTGTCTTAGGAACCTTGTTTGAACTGAAAGCCAAGTGGCTGGCTCTAGCAGACGTGGCCACTGTCTTGTTGGGGGCATAGCTTAGACAATGGGGAAGTGGAAGCATTTCACCCTTGTTGGCCTCTTCCTTTGCTAAAGCTAATTTTGCTCATCACTGTGTCCTTATTTCCTCTTTCTGTGGTTAGCAGAGTTACAGCTTCTTGCAACAGTAAGAATGTGTTCCTACTCCATCGGAGAAGCAAAGCCAAGGAATGGAACTGGTCATTTCTACTTCAGGCACTGAACATGAATGGCTAGGGTGTTCACTCCTGTGTTATAATCTCAAAAAGAGGAAGGCCCATGCCTAGAAATGGCAATGTGGAAGAAAAGGAGCAATAACTGTAAGGTTTTAAAAAAGGAGCCAAGTACTACAAATTTGGGCAGAATAATATATTCTAGAAGTGGGGAAATCTCTTGGTAAATTAGCAGATTTGGAACTACAGTTGTCCAGTATGGTCTGAGGATGAGGCTGATGCTGAAGATACAAAGGGGAACCATCTTAGGCAGAGGGAGGAGAAGGGGTGCTCTGAGCAGATCCTCAGACTGGTCCCTCGACTGGCAGTGAGGAGATACTGGAGATGCTCATGGTGTGGAGTAGTCTCTGGCCAAGGGAAGGGGACTGCTTAGAGCAGTTCTTAGACTAGCAGCACCAGACCTACTGAGTCAGTGCCTAAAGATGAGGTCCAGCAAGCCTAACAAACAAACACTGCAGGGGATCCCAGTGCAGACTTAAGCCTAGGCAGCACAGGCCTTGCCAGTAAGAAGACCGTCTCTTTGGCAAAGACAGATTTTGTGTATGATTCCCTTCTTAAACTCTTTAAAAAAAAAAAGGGGGGGGAGGGGGTGGCTTTGTTCCCCATGATTTTCCTTCCCAAACACTTGGGAAAGGGTGAAACTGCCCTCATGGCCGTGAGTAGAGGATGGAAGTGACTTGATATTGAGGTTTAATAAGGATCAGGATAAACAAATAGGCCAAATAGATGTTTATTCAGGGAAAAATAACTTAAAACCTAGACAGATGAACACCAGCAAGTTCCACTGGATGCTCTCCTCTCCGCATCCCTGTCCTTCCAGCAAGAGAGCATTCCCTGGCTCCTCTGACCTAGTTCTACTGGTCACTTCCACCCCTGGCTCCACCCCCATCGGGCATGGTAAGTGCCACAGAAGGAGTGGCACAAAGTGAATATCCTACTATAATTCCCCTTTTAGTCTAAAGAAAAGATTTAGGCTTGATACAAAACTGTATACAAAACAGTGAATAACAAGTGTGCTCTAAGAAAAGGAAAATCGAGAATAAAACAACCTACATACTAGTCCTAGGGTGAAGGCATAACAGAATTTACAATAGAGTTGTCCTAAGCTGGAAAACTTAAGTCTAATATATCTAACTAGGAAGAGAGAATAATAGTTGTGATAGTTTAATCTTCAACCTCATCAAGACCTGAGAAGGAAATTAACGATACTAGAGTAGACAGGAAGTGCGGATGGGCAACTTCCAAAAGGTGCAGCGAGGACAGAAACAGCAAGCCACCTGAACAGTCACCCAAGGTCTCACAGCAACGTGGTACACCCAGTTTTGGCTAAGGCCAAGAGAACTTGACAGACCACAGCAACAGCAGGGAGGTAGAAAGGCTCTTACCCTGACTTGGCAGGGTCCAGCAGACTTCTGGCGCCATGGTGGGTCCAGGCCAGCAGGAAAAACCTGCTCCTAACAACTTGACATAGGACGTCCAATATAACAAGAATAATAGCCACTTTTCACAATTATCAGTGTAAAATGTTACATGAGGTACATCCTCCTGTGAGTTTTGTGTTCATTGTCAGTTTCAAGAAAAAGCATCACAGTTTTCTAGCATAGTAATGTACATTTTAATATATAGTTCAGAAAAAATGAAAAAGTTAAAAGAGCAGATACCTCAGGTATGGAGCAGGCATATAAGCATCTGTCGGTCAGTAATCTCAGTACTTCAGTTCACTCACACTCTCATGCCTGCTTTATACACAGCTATTGAGTGTGAAGGCTTGGGACCCAACAGTAATACCCCACTGAGTTGTCTGAGTTTCAACTTCAGAATATGATAAGCTCACTTGAAGCTTTCAAAAGATATGGACGTTGTTCTTGATGATTTTTACTCATAGTAATTAAGAAGGGTCCTGACTTAGAGCCAAAGCCCACAAACCCAAGTTCTCTCTTCCAGAGGGAAGTATGGCAAAGGAGTTCACTGTATTGGGGAAGGTGATCTTGAAGCTGTCTAGCACTGGCTCCCTAGACTCTATATGTGCGTGGTTTAGCTCTCATAATTTACAACGTTTAAAACACTACACAACTTCTCTTTCCTCTCAGGGTTTCTCTGTAGCTTTGGAGTCAAACCTAGAACTCTGTAGTCCAGGCTGGCCTCAAACTCAAAGAGATCCACCTGCCTTCACCTCGATAGGATTAAAGGCATGCACCACTGCTGACCAGCCTCTTTCCTATCTTAAAGTCCATTTAAAACCACATGTTGCCTCCCCCCCCCCCACAAAAAAAAAGTGTCAGCATTACTAAATAACTAGCAAAAGTCTCTAGATAGTGATGGGCCTCGTGGTACACACCTTTAATAACAGTGTTGGAGCGGCAGGTGGATCTCTAGGAGTTTAGGTCCAGCGTGTTCAACGTAGTTCTAGGACAGCCAGGGCTACACAGAGAAACCCTGCCTCAAATAAATAAATCTTTATAACAGTGATCCCAGACAAGGCAGAGACAGTAGGATTCTAGGCTGACCTGAGCTACATATCGAGATTTTTGTCTTAACAAACAATTCAGAAGCACTTTCTAAAGTTTTAATAATGGAAATGTTTTCTTTCTCTGAAACAATCTCCAAGTATTTAAAATTGAAGAATGAAAGAAGATAATTTTTAAATAGCCTCTGGGCAGTGTTTGTTTGTTTGTTTGTTTGTTTGTTTGGACTTAAGTACAAACTGATGCCACCCAGAATCATGGTAGCAGTTCCTACTGCCCAGTATCTCGGCCAGGACCCCTCCTGTTAGCAGTTTTTGCAAAGCAGCCATTCCCAATCCTGTTAACATCAGCCTCTCAGCAACTAGTCTTGCCCTCCTACCCCTGACCTTGTCAGTAAATCATCTTCCTTCCTCCCAACCACACTTTCTCTCAAGTACCTGTCTTGCCCAGGTCTCTTACCCTCAGTGCTCATGATTTGTACGTTGCTCTGGCTAGCTGTATACAGACTATTGTCATCGATGTTTTTGCATTTTAATATGCTCAGAAACTTCCCCCTTCAAACAAAGTACACTTCCTTAACCCTGAACCCCTGCTGACCACTGAAATACATCTCCTCCTCTGTCTTTTCATTGAAGTGGGGGTTTTTAACCCTGGGTGCATGCAGATCAACTGGGAGTTTTAAAAGAGACAATGGTTCAGCAGGTAAAAGGCATTTTGTCACCAACCCTGATGACTTGAGTTCTGTCCCTGGGACTCAAATGGTAAAAGAGAATCAGCCCTAGCAATGTGTCTGTCCTCTATCCTATGCAGATAGGCCTTGGCACATATGTATACAATAAATGATTTTCTGTTAAAGGCAAAGCAGTTTTCAAGAGAACTTCAGGGCAAATCCATCCTGTATTTGCCATCTTATACATGCATAATTGGGTGTACATATGATTAAAACCATATGCATTATAGGAAGGGACACATGCAGTAAATGATTATGTGATCTAATCAGTCAAAGCACTGTTGCCAGTAAGATGTTTTCTCTGCCGTTGTATCTTGTAACTAGTAATTCTATATATAAAAGGTATTGATTCTTGTATGCTAATCTTATTTCCTGCTACTGACTTGTTCTACTTGTGGGAGTTAATTTTACCATTAATTAACTGGAGTAAAAAGAAAATCTTGCTAAATGTACAGGTGATTGAATAGAAAAGAAAGCAGAGTCTACATTGGTTAAAATTGTATGTGATTGTGTGTGTGTGTGTGGGGGGGGGGTTCTTCCATGGGAGGCCAATGAGATAATGCCATCATCCATCCTAAAAGTATTCACCAAGCCCCAATGAGCTTCTGGCATGAAGGCTGAAGTGAATACCCTGAGGTCAGGCATGGGATGCTCAAGGAAGGGAGTCTCAGCTGAGATCTTCACAAAGTAGCTCCCTCCAGCATGATGTTTGCCAGTGTTGGGTAAGTACTAAATAAACCACTGAACTAAATACAAATTTGCCTTTGTCCTTCTTGACCCTGGTGGAAAAATACCATTTTTCACTTAAAAAATATTTGACAAGTTGTCCTTGGCATAGGTTTCTGTTCAGTGTATACCGTTTGTGTGGTCTACAATTTTCAGTGGACCTGAATCTGTTATCATTCCAGATGACTAGCAGAAGCAACCTCAATACTTGCAGAGTAAACTTCCATCCAGGTGTTAAAGCACTCTACAGGTTAAGGTGATACAAGACTGAGCTCCCAGTTAAAGCCATAAAC